GTCTTGGGATACATTCCTGCCGTTGGCGGAGTTTGCATATAACAACAGCTATCAGTCCAGCATTCAGATGGCACCTTATGAGGCTTTATATGGTAGGCGGTGCAGATCACCGGTGGGATGGTTCGAGCCGGGAGAGGCGAGACTATTGGGTACAGATTTGGTACAGGATGCGGTGGAAAAGGTTAAGGTGATTCAGGATCGACTCCGTACAGCCCAGTCCAGGCAGAAGAGTTATGCGGACCGGAAGGTTCGCGATGTTTCCTTCATGGTTGGCGAGCGGGTTCTGCTTCGGGTCTCGCCTATGAAAGGCGTCATGAGGTTCGGTAAGAGAGGGAAGTTGAGTCCAAGGTTTATTGGCCCTTTTGAGATTTTGAGACAGATTGGGAAGGTTGCCTATGAGCTTGCTTTGCCTCCTAGTTTGGCCGGGGTCCATCCGGTATTTCATGTTTCGATGCTTCGGAGGTATCATGGCGATCCGTCACATGTGTTGGAGTTTACTTCAGTCCAGCTGGACAAGGACTTGTCCTATGTTGAGGAGCCTGTGGCAATTCTGGACAGACAGATTAGAAAGCTCAGGTCTAAGGAGATAGCCTCTGTGAAGGTTCAGTGGCGGGGCCAACCAGTCGAGGAGGCGACTTGGGATTCCGAGCGGAATATGCGCAGCCGTTACCCTCATCTTTTTACTACTCCAGGTATGTTCTCTATGCTCGTTCGAGGATGAACGAATGTTTAAGTGTGGGAGGATGTAACGACCCGACTGGTCATTTTTAGAAATTTCACCCTGTTTCCCCGTTAACTGCTTTCCCTAAGTGTATTTGAACTATTTTTATTTGCCGGGATGTTCGGTAGTTGAATTCGGAGTGTTTTCGGACAAATAGTCCTTATTTGAGAGCTTAAGTGTTGGAAAATGGTCCATTGTCGGAACAGTGTCAAGACGACCTCGAAATGGAAATCCGATGGTTTCGTTAGCTCCGTTAGGTGATTTCGGGGTGGGGAGCGTGTCCGGATTGTATTTTGGATGTCCGAAGCTCAATTAGCCTAGAAATGCCGAAAGTTGGAAAATTGGACCATCCGGTCCGACAGTGAATTTTTGATCCGGGGGTCGGAACGAAGTTCCGGAAATTTCTGTAGCACCGTCATATCATTTGGGACGTGCATGCAAAATTTCAGATCAATTGGACGTGTTTTGGATAGGTTTTTGATCGAAAATGATTTTGGTTAAGTTTTGAAAATTTTAAGTTTAAATCCTTGATTAGTTCATGTTTCCAGCGTTGTTTTAGGTGGTTTAAGGATTGGTTCAAGTCTAAATGGTGTTATGGGATATGTTCATAGGTTTGGTTGAGGTCCCGGGGGCCTCGGGTGAGTTTCGGATGCTCAACGGAGCAATTCCAGACTCAAAATGCTTGCTAAAGCTGCTGGTGTGATGTTGCAGAAGAACCCTTCTATGCGATCGCATAGGAGTTCCGCGATCGCATAGAGTCCCCTGATATGGCTAAGTTTTTCCTTCAATGCGATCGCATACTTCATATTGCGATCGCATAGTTTTGAATTCCCTTTCAGTGCGATCGCATCCCTCATTTCGCGTTCGCATAGAGTATTGAGGGTCTGGGCCTTGAGGCCATTTCTCTCATACGCGATCGCATGGCCATGCTGCAATCGCATAAATCAGTATCCCCCTTCCCCCTGCGATCGCATGCCTCCTATTGCGTTCGCATAAGCCAATTTTGGGGTTGTTACATTTTTACTCTATGCGATCGCTTCAGTTCTTCCGCGATCGCATAGAACAAACCCCTGGAACAGTTTATAACATTTCAAACACGAGCATTCCTCCATTTTTACAAAAACTCAAGCTAGGGAGCTTGGTTTGGGGAAATTTTTCGAGGGTTTTTCAGAGGCAAACATCGGGTAACGATTCCTTACTCTATTTTGATCATTACCCACTAATCTAAACTCGAATTCAAGCTTTAATTTCGGATTTTGCCATGAAATTGGGTTAAGTTCTTAGACCTAAGTTTGACGATTTGAGGGACCATTCGACCTCCGATTTTGATAAATTTTATATGGTTAGACTCGTGAGAGCGCGAGGTTTCTGAAAATGTAAAAATATTCTGATTCCGAGACGTTGGCCTGAGGGGTGTTTTGGTCATTTCACCTAATTTGGCGTCATAACTTCAATTTTATTAGTGTAATTAGTTAATTGCATTGTTATTTATACATTGTAACTGGTTTGAATAGATTCGGGCCATTCGGAGTTGGATACTCGTGGCAAGGGCTTTACTTCCTATTGATTTTGGTACCGGTTCGAGGTAAGTGACTTGTCTAACCTTGTGTGGGGGACCTTTACCCCTAGGATTGTTTGCTGTTGGTTTAAACACATTGTGTGCGAGGTGACGGGCGTACACTTGTGCTAATTGTTGAAATTCACCTTACTTGAAATTCTCATACTGTGTCCTCTCGCTTAATTGACTGTTATAAAAATGCCAGTTCAGCCTGTGATAGTTAGGAAAGTATAATTAGACATAATTAACTGTTTTAGTTGCTTATTTGCTCTCGGCGAGGTATGTGAAGCATGTTAGACTAATTTCCCTATTACTGTTAATTCATGCTCCGTTTCCGATATTAATTGACTGTGTTTGTGCCTTTAAATTGGGACTACGGATGTGGGATTCCGGGAGTTCCCCCTTGTTTGGTTTACTTTGGGACTACGGGTTAGATTCCCGGGAGATCCCCTGCACATTTATTTTTGGAACTACGGGTTCGATTCCCGGTAGATTCCCCTGCACTATTATATGGGACTACGGCAATGCAGCCGGTAGATTTCCACAGTACAAATTGATACAAAGGGCTACAGGACGGTATCCTGGGAGACCCTTCAGATATATTATACAGCGGACTACGGGTTAGGTTCCCGGGAGATCCTCGTACAGATTTATATAAAGGATGGATGAAACGAAACAGAAAGGTATTCCGGAAGATCTTTTGAGTACTTGTAATTTATTGATATCCTTCGGTGTACCTTCTATCATTGTTGTATTTTTCTCCTGCTTAATTAATTGTTTCAGCTGTATACTTACATTCAGTACTGTTTACTCTCAGTAGGGCCTCGACCTTCCTCGTCACTACCCAACCGAGGTTAGGCTTGACACTTACTGAGTACCGCTGTGGTGTACTCATACTACTCTTCTGCACACTTTTTGTGGTGCAGATCCAAGTACTTCGGGTTCGGCATTCCAGCAGTGAGTCCGGAGCTGCTTCCTCGGAGGACTTGAGGTATGAATCTGCCGCGTTCGCAGATCCGACGAGTTCTCCTTCTACTCTATTGGTAGTTAGATAGATGACATCCTGTCTCTCTTTGTATTAGACATTTCAGAAGTTAGAGCTTGTCATGTTTGAAAATTCTTAGCCTGTGCTGCCCGTGAGTTTTCGGGTTTTGGGATGGTTTCCAGGAAGTTTATATGTGCTAAGTGTATGTGCCAAGCGGCACCCGTTACATTTTACTTATTTAAGTGATTGTCCTTATCTTTTTCTTATGTTGAATGTTTTTCCGCGATGTTTAAGGCTTACCTGGCCTCGCCGGTCAGGTGCCGTCATGACGTGTTCACCAACGGTGAACTAGGGTCGTGACATTAATTAAACTCCCTCTTCTATGTTTTAAGACTCATAATAACTATTGGTCTAAGGCTATTTTTTGCCTAGAAATCTCATAACTAATGTTATTTACTCTCCATATTTTATAAATATCCACAGTGCTTACGAAAATACTGCGTACGCCCCTGGCCACGTATGTGCGTTTTAGAAGAAAAAACAGGAGAGGCAGTTGGGTAAATAACCCATATAAGAGGGGCGATTAATTAATTAGTCGAAGTTAAACACGAGGCGGGAGAAGTCAGCTAGGTATAAAAAGGCGTGGCTACACGCCCAATATCAATCCCCTATGACTTAATATCATCTGCTTCCTTTCTCTCTTCAAAAATTTCAAGTTTTTTCAAAAGCCTTCAGAAAAGGAAAAGTCCGAATTATCAAACTGAACTCCTTATAATACTGTGTTGAATATCACTGTTATACATTTTACTTGTTTATACCGAGTATAATATTTTGATCATGATTGTAACGGCTAATACCAGAGCATTTCTCCCCGTCGCAAATCATTCACCTGAATTTAGAGAAAGCGTAAAGCTAGGAGGAAGTCCTGTTTTTGTAGCAAATTCTAAGAGGTCATCTGTTTGTAGCCTACAAATTAAGGCGAATTCTCAATCACCGCCGCATGTGAATGGATCAAACGTTTGCCTTAAGCACGATCACAGACTCAATGTCGACCCTTTTGGACCAGGAAAACTCATGGAAGATGGCTTCATTTTTTGTCAAAGTTTCAGTATCAGGTCATATGAAATCGGAGCAGATAGGGCCGCTTCTATAGAAACGATGATGAATCTTTTGCAGGTAGGCATGGCATTTTTGGAACTTGCGCATTAAACTGAGTGTGTGTTTGATATAAGGGAAAATGACATATATATCGCAATATATCAAGATTTTGATAGGTTTTTACTTATATATCTGTACTTTGTAGTTTGTATCCAAAGTTATGGGTTCAGATTACGCCCCTATTATTATATTAATTCTTCATGAGCTTGAATTCGTTGTAATGCAGGAAACATCTCTAAACCACGCGAAGATTGTAGGACTTATGGGGGATGGGTTCGGGTCAACTCCAGAGATGTCCAAAATAAATTTGATTTGGGTTGTTACGAAGATGCAGGTTTTGGTCGATCGCTATCCTACCTGGTAAGTTTCTACTCTTGATTTTATGTTTTTAGTTCTCCCGAGAGGAGCTGGAAGAGGAGCCTTGGCGTAATTGGTAAAGTTGTTGCCATATGACCAAGAAGTCCTAGGTTCGAACCACCTCTTGCAAAAATACAGGATAACTCTGCGTACAATAGACCCTTGTAGCCCGACCTTTCCCTGGACCCAGCGCATAACGCGAGCTTAGTACACTGGACTGCCTTTTTTAGTTCCCTAGGAGGAGCCATTCGCTAGGGTGTGATGTGAACAATTTACCCTGATGTAAGAATTAGTAGTTGTTTAACCCTTAAGTTGGTTGAATATGGTGATTATTTGTCTTATTTTATATTCTGCTTATATCAAGATCTGTTCCTGGCATAGTAATTACACATTTTACTTTCATTGTGAAGAAATTAATCGCGTGGATATGTGATCTTGCTTCGATTTCTTTTGCTCAGGGGCGATGTTGTTCAAATAGACACTTGGGTTGCTGCTTCAGGAAAGAATGGTATGCGGCGTGATTGGCTTGTCTGTGATAGTAATACAGGGGATATATTGATGAGAGCTTCCAGGTAAATACTACCTCCCTCCCATTTTATGTGAAGATGTTCGGATTTCGAGAGTCAAACGAATCCTTCTTTGACCGTGATTCTTTTATGTCTTTTAAATACTTTGAATTATTAATTATTGCGACTTGTAGTACTTTTTAAGTAACTTCCAAATTGCAGCTTATGGGTAATGATGAATGAAGAGACGAGGAAATTATCTAAAGTACCAGATCAGGTTAAAACTGAAATTAAAGTTAATTTTGCGGATTTGCCTCCGGTTCTTGATGGGGACAGCAGAAAGTTACCAAAACTTGACGAGATCACAGCAGACTATACTCGTACTGGTTTAACGGTAAGTAAAAATATCTCCATAAATGATATAGTGTCTTTGTAATGAAGTTATTTAATAACTGCTGGTTTATTAAATTTATAGCCAAAATGGAGTGATCTAGACGTGAACCAACATGTTAATAATGTCAAGTACATTGGCTGGATTCTTGAGGTACATCTTCCTTTTTCTGATTAATTCCCTTCACCACATTCCCTTTAATAATGTCAATGAGTCATGTTGTATCTTATATGAGTATGTTCTTTAATCATTCATAATTCACCTAATATATAAAAGTTTTACTAACATCATAATAGATATTGGCATAACTGGTAAAGTTCGTGTCATGAGACCAGGAGGTCACGATTCGAGCTGTGTGGAAACAACCTCTTGCAGAAATGCACGGTAAGGTTAAGTACAGTAGACCCTTCCGCCCTTCCCAGGACCCCTGCATAGCGGGAGCCTAGCGCACCGGACGACCTTTATTATAGAAAAATTGTCCATAGTTCTTAGAACCTCGTTGACATATCTTTTGCGCTTATGATTATTTGGGACAACGTATTTTGTTGCAGAGTGCACCTATGCAAGAACTAGAGGGTTATGAGCTTGTTGGCATGACGTTGGAGTATCGACGGGAGTGCAGAAGGGACAGTGTACTACAATCTCTCACATCCGTATTGCAAAATGCAGTTGGTAATTTCGCCAACTCCAGCAATGTCGAGTGTCAACATTTGCTTCGTTTGGAGAGTGGCGAAGACGTTGTGAAGGGAAGGACTGAATGGAGGCCAAGATTTGCCAACAGCACTAAGAGTAATGGATCGTGAAATCAACCATTGATGCTTGCATTAGGGTAGGTTGCCTACATCACATCCCTGCATGAACACGGAATGCCTCGTGCACAGTATATCGGATTGACCCTTTGAAAGCAATGGATAATTTTCAACAGGAAGTGCATAGCTATCTCTTGGGCATATCACAATCCCTTGTTGATCTTATATTATATGTTTCCTCACTGCATAAAATGTATATCTATTTTCCTTTGCATGTTTTTTTTTTCATTTACTATTCATCTCTCTTTCCTATTGGAGAAAATAGAACTTAATGTCATAGGATGAATGAAGATTTTACGTTATAGCAACTTTTTACTAATTATAATGCAAGATGATTATTGATTCTCAAGGAACATCCTCTTGATCTTATGGACAATTCATCTATACTAGTGTTTAAATTATTCAACCAATAAATCACTAAATCGCATTACCGGTGCAGAAATCGATTGTAGATCTGCCGTTCAATAATTAAAAATTACTTATAATTAATAGCGTGAAGCGCGGACAATATTATTAGTGATATTATTATAATATTGACCATGTGCTAGGAAACGTGAAATAATTGTACTATTGTGAATGATAAATGGTACAAGAATCTGAAGATTACTTCCATGATCTTCGGCAGACTTTCTCTATTCTTTTCAATATTTGCTTATGAATTATTAAGGAATTAGTTTAAAATTACAAAGAGTGAACATTGTGGAATTACGAAATGCTTGATAAGACAAAAGAATAATTTTGTACTCAATGTGGCTTTCCATGAACCGTGCACTATCAGTTATATCAGGATATCTGCCTAGGATCATGGAAGTAACGTCAAACAATTGTAACAATGATACAATTATTTCACCCTTCATATATAATACACTCAATCTTATATATA